ACTGCAAAAGAGTCTATCATCAAAACAAAAAGACAACCAACAGAATGGGAGAAGACATTTGCAAACAACACCTTTGATATGTCCAAAATATATAAAGAGCTCATACAATTCAACAACAAAAACAAACAATCTAATTAAAATGGACAGAGGACCTGAACAGATATATACAATGGATTAATACTGCCATTTACAACATGGATGGAACTTGAAAATATCATGCCTTATCATGAAATAAGTCAGACAGAAAAAGTCCAGAACCATATGATTTTACTCATGTGGTATATAAAACTGAAAGTAACAAATAATACAAACAAACAAAAACTCATAAGTACAGCATTATGGTGGCTACCAGTGGGAAAGGGGAGTGAGGGGATGGTGGAAAAGATTAAAGAGAGTCAAATATATGGTGACAGGAGACTTGACTTTGGGTGGTAAACACACAATGCAATATACAGATGATCTATCATAGAATTGTACATTTGAAACCTATATAATTTTATTAACCATTGTCATCCCAATAAATTTAAAATAAATTTTAGAAAGAAAAGCAAAAAAAAAAAAAAAGAAGGGATGCATATACCTACTTAGTGATCCAAACCTTTGTGATTATCAAAGAAAGAAAGATTTATGAAAGTATGTTGTAACTTAATGGATTCTCTACTAATGTAAGATTATCATTGTTGAACAGTTTCTTTTTACTATTACTTATTTGGGGGATCAATTCCTTACATATCATTAAAACCCATTACTTCTTCATTCTTATCACAAACCTTTATAAAGTTTTTAACCATTTCAGTTGTAGTTTTTTTAAAAGCTGTATATTTTGCCTTTTTATATTCATGTTTTTAAAATGTTACAAATATAGCCCTATCTGGTTTGGCTCTATGGATAGAGTATCAGCTTGCAGACTGAAAGGTCCCAGATTCGATTTTGGTCAAGGGCACATAGGGCTCCATCCCCAGTAGGGGGTGTGCAGGAGGCAGCCGATCAATGATTCTCTCTCATCATTGATGTTTCTATCTCTCTCTCCCTCTCCTTTCCTCTCTGAAATCAATAAAAATATATTTTAAAAATAAAATGTTACAAGTATAATTATTTATATTTTCCACTGTAACTATATTAAGCCTCTTTCAAGAACTTCTTGGGTATCCAGAAGGTTACTGATTTTTTTTCCCTTCTGATTAAAGTGATAAAGTTCTCTTGTAGGAAATTTGGGAATTTTTGGAAAAATAAAGAAGAAATTTAAAACAACAATATTCAACTATCTATCTTAATACACACATACATATAGACATATAATATACACAAATACTAATTTTTACCAAATTGGCCACCTAATAAATATACTCTTTTGGGAATGTTTTTCCACTTTATGATATGCTGGTAGCATGTGTTTTTGTATATTATTAAATACAAGAGGCCTGGTGCACAAATTTGTGCATGGGTGGGGTCCCTTGGGGTGGCTTTTGGAGATCAGGTCCCAGCTCACACCTCCAGCCTTGCAGCCCCGCTGCTCCCCGCCTGGCACCTCACCTTGGCCTGGTGCTGTCCCCTCACCTGCTCCACCATATCGCCTGCGGGGCGATCAGCAGGGTGATTGGGCCCCTGCTTGCACCTGCCTTGACCTGGCACTGCCCGCTCACCTGCTCCACCATCCTGCTGCAGTCCCGCGTTCATCAGGGCCCATCAGGGCCGGCAGTGCCTCCACTGCCAGTGCCACGTCGCCAATGCCCACATGTTTCGCACCACCCCCTGGTGGTCACTGCACATCATAGTAAGTGGTCGAACTCCTGGTCGAACTCCGGGTCGAACGACCGCCCAAGGGGACAATTTGCATATTAGGCTTTTATTATATAGTATTTTTTGAAAACATGAATTTTACATTTTAATATGCAATACATATATAATTATGAAGTCCAACATAAAGCAAGCATTCACACATGCACTACACTACCCAACCTGAGAATTAGGCAATTACAACACCCTGGAAGTCACCTGTGTGCTTCTCTGCTGCTGCCCCTTCCCACCCATGGGGACTCCTGGCCTCAAGGTTGTGTATTGTCAATAGCTTTTTATTGTGTGTGTGTGTGTGTGTGTTCACATATATATCTCCAAACAGTATATTGCTATAGCTTGGTTTAGAGCTTTATACAAATGGTATTATACTGCATTTATACTTAGCAGTGAAATGAGTATTACAAAATAGTTTAAATTGTCCTCTACTGTTAGCTATTTAGAGATTTTTCTGCTTTTTTATCTTTACAACGAAGTTATTCCTGTGTGTGTATACCCAATTATTTTCTTGGGAATAATTTCTAGAAATGAAATTGCTGTTTTAAAGTGTCAACACTTTTAAGGATTTTTTTATAACTGTACATCAGAAAATGTGTCCATGTTGAAGATTTTAATAAAACAAACATTCAGACTTACCTGGCAGATAATTATACCAGTACATCCTAAACAGCTTTCCATTTTAAATGGCAACAAGAAACACAAATGTCTCAGTGGCTTATCAAGTTAAAAAGTCCAAAACAAACTTCCTCAGTATGTCTGACTCCCTGAAATATATTCTGTTCTGTCACAGTGCGATGTTCCTATCCTCTTAGTTCCTAAGGCTAGAAACCTTAAAGACACATTCTCTCTACTTTCCACCTCCATTTCAGCCACCCCACATTCCCCTCAGTCCTCAAGTCCTGCTAATTCTGTCTCTACACTGTTCCTCGAATCCATTCCTTCCCTTCCATTCTTACAAACATTGCTCTGATTCAAACTCTGCTAATCTATCATGTGGACCATTATGCAGCCTCTTAACTGGTCTCCAAACTGTCTTTAGTCTCATGCCTCTCTAATATGTCCTTCATGCTGTTACTTTCTCAAAACACAGACTTGTCTTTAAAACTGATACCCAAAATCTCTGATAGCTCTCCGTTATCCACATGATAAAATCCATACTCCTTAGTTAAAGCCATTGATCTAATTTAACCTCTCTCCAGCTTGTGTCCTTGAGATTCACCCTCCCCACCCAACCCCATCCAAGAACTTTGTGTTTTATATTCTAGCCAGCCTGGCCTACTTGCTCCCTGTATATTTTCCTATTTTCTCCTTGTACTTGTTTCTCCCTCAACCTATAATATTCCTCCTCTTCTATCCTCCCTGTTGAAATGCTACTCATGCTTCAAGGTTCCACTGAAATGCCAACTTCTCCATGGAGTTTAACGTCAATGTAAGTTATCATAGTTATACATAGATGATTCAGGCATGCTTGCGTCTCTTGAAGTACTTTGAATGTCAAATTGTGAAGACAATATTTTATTTGCTGGATAGAAAATGCTGGGTAGAAAAAGCAGAATACCAACTATTTTAAATACATCACTTACAATAAATAAAAAAACTAAAGTGTGTATGTATATATGTATATGTGTGTGTGTGTGTGTGTGTGTGTGTGTGTGTGTGTGTATGTTTATATGTATATATGGACAGATACAGAGACTGATAGGAATACTTGAGTTACAATTCTTTTTGGAATCAGGCAGGATGAGTACTTTTAAAAAATTAATTATAGAATTATACTCATCAGGTTTATTTTATCTGTGAAGATGCTTGCTTGGACTTTAACAGATGTCCACTTTGAGACTTAACACCCATTTGGTCCAGCTGCAGGAGGCCAGCCTTTTGAGCCTCTTCCCTGTTCCGGTGTTGACTGCTGAGTTGGAGGGGCCTGTTCCTTGCCAGATCTATCTAGTCAAAGTGACAGGCGGTGAACAGTCCCTGAACCGTAAAAGGAAAACACTGCACTAGATGACTGTTAAATGGATGAGTAGATGATCTGTAAGGTCCTTTCCAGCTTTCATATTCTGAGATACCTTTTGATCATGAGATAGAAAAATGCTTAAGGACAAAGGGAAGTACTGATTTGTTCTCTGTTCTAGCACCTTCACTGATGTCAAGTAGCCAATTGTTCCTTTTATTAACTCTGAACTACCAAAATGTACTGTGTGGGGATTTAGTACATTTGGCTTCGGACCCAAGTGTACCACTATCTGTGTGGCCTGGGCGTGCCGCTTTCTGTCATCGGGCCTCTATTTGCTTATCAGAGAAATGATAAAGGTGAGACTAGATGCTCTGTGAGGTTCTTTGCAGCTTTCCTATAATTTTATAACTGGTATGTGTAATGTGCCCAAGGATTTTTTACCCTATAATCACTTTCCCATATTTCAAAGTTAAGAAATCAGAATGGGACTAGTCACAAAATACTTTTCTCTTCACAAAATACTGTAGATAGCAAAGTGGAGTGGGTATGGGTGGTAGAGGAGTATCTTGGTTCCATCACTTCACCTTACTATAATATTTGTTCTCTTATAGTGGGTATTTCTCAAATCTTAAAATTATTACCTGTGGTAAGGTAAACCAAAAATTTTGAAGATACCTTGTAGGAAATTAAGATTTTGGAGTATGTTTCAAATATGCACACTAATTCAATCAGTCTAGTAGTAGTACAAAATATCTCAAAATATATGAACTCTAAATCATTATAGACTTCCTTTCTTAAGACAGACTCCAAAGTCTTACTGAAAAAGAGGGCCCCATTTTATTTCCAAGGGACAAGCTAATATTTGATATATGAGTCTTGATTCCAGCATTGCTTCTAGCAAACATAGTTGTTACTGCTTAAACAAGTATTTCTTTTCTAGTAATTAGATTTCTTTTTCATTTTGATGGATAGTCATAAATATTAACCACCAACAGTGCAGGAATAATTTATATTCAAATTGTCAGACATCACTCTGTGAACACATAAAATAATTTACACTTATTTAGAACCTTTTATTCTACAGTGCTCTATATGTATTTCTTTATAATCTGATTGCAATCTATATATAGGACTCCCACCTGAAATAAGGCAGCAACCAAAGTATTTAAAATAAAGTATACAACTTCAAAAAAGTAGACAAAAGAAAGAAATGTTTTTCATTTGTTCCTATATGCTCTTATACCTATAGGATTGGAGAATCCATGTTGACCAAATGCACCAGCACAAAAGTGGAATTGAATCTGCTCTAAAGGAGACCAAGGTATGTGAATATACGTTGACTCTTCTGTGGAATACCTATTAAGGAAGAACATGAAAAGAAAAAGACACAAATTTTGCCCTTTAGGAGCTTACTGATTTGAATGTATCATATTAATTTCCACAGCCCTAAACACTTAAACCAACTCAAAAAAGGTAACTTTATATAAAAGTGGTATATATATTACATTACATATATTAGATATATAGTTAATATATATATATATGTCAATATCTATATATAGATAATAATAAAAGCATAATATGCTAATTACACTTGACATCCTTCTGGATGTCCTTCCTTCCTGGACGTTCTTCCTTCCAGACAAAGCCACGGCGAGCGGGGGCCGAGGCAGAGGCAGCAGAGGTCCCTGGTGGCGGCAGCGGCGGGTACAGGCTGCGGTGGCAGCAGATGGGGGCCAGGGCCAAGGCCCTTGCATGAATTTCGTGCATCGGGCCTCTAATATATGATAAACCATCAGTCAATATCATACTCAATGGTGAAAAACTGAAAGCTTTTCCCTAAGATCAGGAAGATGAGAAGGATGACCATTATCATCACTCTTATTCAACACTAGAGGCCTGGTGCATGGAATTCATGCAAGGGGCTTGGCCCTCACAGCCGTGGCAGCTTGCCTGTGCCCTCACAGCCCCTGCTTCATCCAGAAGGTCATCTGGAAGGTCATTTGGCTATCCAGTCTAATTAGCATATTAGGCGTTTATTACTATAGCTCTGAGCTCCACTGAAGGCAACAAAGTTTCAATTATAGAAGATAAATAAACCCCAGATACCTGCTTTCAGCCGGCCGTGGCCACGGAGCTGGAGCAAGCAGGAAGCCAAACTTCCCGCCTGCCATGGGGCTCTGAGCTCCATTGAAGGCAACAAAATTTCAATTATAGAAGGTAAGTAAATCCCAGAATAAAAAAAAAAGAAAAAAAGGAGAGGCTGGGAGCTTCCGTCGCTGGGGGGTTTGGCCAGCCTGAAAATGGCCCTCAGCCCCTCCCAGACTGCGAGAGGGCACAGGCTGGGCTGAGAGACACCCCCCCAGGGCCTCTAGTGCCCTGGGCCTCTAGTCCTATATAATAAAAGGCTAATATGCAAATCAACCAAATGGCAGAACGACCGGTCACTATGACACGCACTGACCACCAGGAGGCAGATGCTCAATGCAGGAACTGCCCCCTGGTGGTCAGTGTGCTCCCACATGGGGGAGCTCTGCTCGGCCACAAGCCAGGCTGATGGCTGCCAGTACAGCGGTGGTGGTGGGAGCCTCTCCCGCCTCCTCAGCAGCACTAAGGATGTCAGACTACAGCTTAGGCCTGCTCCCCGCTGGCAAGTGGACATCCCCCGAGGGCTGCCGGGCTGCCAGAGGGATGTCTGATTGCCAGCTTAGGCCCAATCCCCTGGGGAGCGGGCCTAAGCCAGCAGGTGGTCATCCTCTGAGGGGTCCCAGACTGTGAGAGGGCACAGGCCGGGCTGAGGGACCCCCCAGCCCTGAGTGCACAAATTTTTGTGCACCAGGCCTCTAGTATATATATAAAGCCTAATATAATAAATGCCTAATATGCTAAGTGTCCAGTCGTCGGTTGGCCAATCAACCAATCAAAGCATAATATGCCAATATTATGTGGCTAAGGCCACTCAACTGCTCGCTATGATGTGCACTAACCACCAAGGGAAAAACAGTCAACTGGTCGACCAGTTGCTATGACGTGCACTAACCATCAGGGGCAGACAGTTGACCAGTAGGCAAGTTGCTATGACATGTATTGACTACCAGGGGACAGATACTCTGACCGATAGGTTAGCTTGCTGCTGGGGTCCAGCCAATCGGGACTGAGTGAGATGGGCCGGACATGCCCTGGAGCCCTCCCACGGTCCCTCCCCAGCTGGCCAATCTCCTGCGTCCCTCCTCAGCCCTGATAGTGGGTGGGTGGGAGGAAATCAACCAAAGACCATCCTATATAATAAAAGGCTAATATGCAAATCGACCGAACAGCAGAATGACCGGTCGCTATGACATGCACTGACCACCGGGGGCAGACGCTCAATGCAGGAGCTGTCCCCTGGTGGTCAGTGTGCTCCCACAGGGGAAACTCTGCTTAGCCAGAAGCCCTGAGCCAGGCTCACTGCTGACAAGTGCAGTGGTGGTTGCAGGAGCCTCTCCCGTGGAGAGCGGGCCTAAGCCATCAGTCGGACATCCACGGAGGGCTCCCAGACTGCGAGAGGGCACAGGCTGGGCTGAGAGACACCCCCCCAGGGCCTCTAGTGCCCAAGGCCTCTAGTCCTATATAATAAAAGGCTAATATGCAAATCAACCAAATGGCAGAACGACCGGTCACTATGACACGCACTGACCACCAGGAGGCAGATGCTCAATGCAGGAACTGCCCCCTGGTGGTCAGTGTGCTCCCATAGGGGAAGTACTGTTCAACCAGAAGCCCGGCTCACGGCTGGGGAGCGCAGCCGCTGTGGCGGGAGCTTTTTCCACCTCCGCGGCAGCGCTAAAGAAGTACAACTGACGGCTTAGGCCCGCTCCCCCAGGGCTCCTGGACTGTGAGAGGGCACAGGCCAGGCTGAGGGACCCCCACCGAGTGCACGAATTTCGTTCACTGGGCCTCTAGTATATAGAGAAACATTTCATCATTCTTTCCTCTCTGAATCCCAAGGAATAACAGAGTGCCAGGCCAACCAGGCCTAGAATCCACAGCTTCCCCAGGCTTACTGCCCTGCCAGAAATAGGACTTTTAGAGTATACCACAAAGAAGCAAAATTTGAATGAGAATTTGTGGGTCTCAGACTAGAGCTATGTTTAATGATCTACTTCCAACTGGACTATTCCAGCCTTGTTTGAATTGTGTGAGAAGAAAGTCATGTTATTCCCTTACCTACTTGGATTGTGAACTTCACACAAAGCAAATTTCACTCACATCTATTCTAGATATGCATAGAAATGAATGAATTGACTAACACTGCCAGGTGCCATTTTATTTTAATATTCTGAAAATTGACTATATTTCTCACTACAGACTTCTTTTGCTATTAAAAATTTCAAACTGTCTTCTTTAGTGGTTGAGGATTTGTGGGATGGATTGAGGAAGATTTAATCCATTTTAAACTTTTTTTTTGAAAAATATGTGAATTTTTTTATCTACTAAAGTCACATGGAATTTCTAGGGATTTTTGGACAAACTCCATAATGAAATTGGAAGGACTCTGGAGAAGATCGGCAGCCGAGAAAAGTACATCAATAGTCAGCTTGAGCACTTGGTTCAAGAATATCGTGCAGCTCAAGCTCAGCTGAGTGAGGTAACTTAAGAATGATATCCAGGGATTTATTCCAATTAATGACCCTAATCCTTAAGCTTGACACAGCACTTTTCGTTGGAAAATTTTGAAATGTATTTCACAAACATCAATGCAGTATGTCCATACTTAACATTGTTGACAGCTTCTTGGAAACTGCAATTTTAAGCAAAATGATGTGTAAACAAAACCAATTTTCACAATAGGCTAATTGATGTACAGAACTATGCCGTAGAACTTAACTCTTGTTTCTATCAATTGCTTAGGGTAAAATTGGTTAAGACCATAGTTTCCAAGAACCTATCGACGGACAACATGAAGTGAGGACTTACTGTATACTGATTCTCTGCCCACTTTAGGAAGCCAAGTGAGGCAATAAAACTTGTTATTTCCATATTACATGTGATAGAAATGATCTCCTAGAAGTCTTTAAATGAATTTCTTCATTTGATTTAAATAAATGAAGGCATATATTTTGAGAAATATGACTTAGAACAGGAACAGAGGGTAAGGACACCTAGTTTTGTTTCTATCTGCTGTTAATTTACCATATGAGTGGGAGGATAAAGAATACTATGCATTTACATATGTCAGAGGGAAAAGACATTCTTGCCATAATGACTTACAACCATGTAATAAGCAATATGAAAGTGAGACACGTTCAAAGACAAGCAGTTTAATTAATGAAATGAGCAAATTTTTTAATCCTTTCAAAGTTTTAGAATTTCAACTAAAAAATAAAGCCTTCAGCCTTTGAAAGCAGCAGTTATTGTCCCAGAAGTGGGGATCTAAAGGCTTTCCTTTGAGATTTATGCCCCCTTCTTCCTGATGTTGAAGAAGAATAGTAAGAACTGACTTGCAAATGTCGGTTGAAGGCATATTTTTTTTTTCTTACAGCAGACAAGGTTAAGGGAGAAAAATGTGGAAATAAACTTAACATACTTCTGTACTTTCAGAATTTCTCAAAGACCAAGCAGAAAGTAATCTTTACCTTTTTATTGTTATTTGTTTAATTATTTCTTCACATTCTCATCTATTCATGGATATTTTTACTTTTAAAATGCTGTAAAAATCTGACTAAAGCCACCATGTATCTCTCAAACTTTGCTATTAAATAATTGATTGTTAAATTAGCTCCCAAAAACATATTGCATACTGTCATACTGTTTGTTAATCCTTATTAATTGCTGATCCTGATGCTCTATTATGATTGATTTTTTTAAAACTGGTTTTCTCTGCATAGGACACAAATTAGATCGACCAAGGGCCTCTCTCCTAAACTGTAAAATAATGGCCGAGGACAGTTTTTATTGTGAACCATGCCTGTGCCAGTTACATAGACAGTATGTGAAGGTTAAAGTAGTTCATCATTTTATAGTGCTTTATTTAAATACATGGTGCCTATTAAGGACATAAAATAACTACAGTTAAATGTCACTTCCACAAATGTGTTCACAAATGAGGGGAGGGGTTGTCACAAAATGATGTGCAGAAATAGCACACACAGAGGTCATATTTAAGTACTCTGTTTCTGTGGTGAATTTGTCATTAAACAAAATGTTTTCTCTCTCAGGCAAGGGAGCGATACCAGCAAGGAAATGGCGGAGTGACTGAGAGGACCAGACTGCTGTCTGAGGTACATGCTGTGTGCTCTTGCAGACTCCTCATCTATCACCTGAGCCAGCTGTTCAGAGCCCTGATGCTTTAATACTGCTACACCTTGTATTGTTTCAATAATTGTTTCTGTGGCTTTGAATTTTTTCTTTAGGAGAAAATTTCTAATTTTTTAAATCAATGAATCAATTATGTATGTATATTCTACTTGTTTCCATAAACTGCCTGGAGTTCTATTAAATTGAACATAAAACCTGCTGATAATATTAGCAAATTTATAACCTTCCTTAACTTTCTTAAACATAATGATTATAATTGATATATAGAAGAGTAGGTAGAGCATTGGCTTAAATATCTATAACAGCTTTTAATATTAGTCTTCGAGATCCAAGATTTGTTTTTAGTGATTATTGATAATGTGTATGTGATACTGAGTATTTCTCTCTCTACAAATTGGGAGTGGTGTGGAACCCTTGCCTTCTGAGAACTCCTGGAAAAAAAAATATATATAGTGTATTTATTTTCATCATCTTGAAAGAGAAGTAAAACCTAATATCTGTTCCCATTTTTTTCACTGAAGAGCTGAGAGAGAAAAAAAATACCTTTAATAAGGTCAGTAGCCAATGTGGGACTAAAATCCAGGATTATCTTTTATTACAATCCAGTATAATTGTCACAAACTTTTCTATATAATACAGTTAAGCTTCTTTTATAGACATTATTTGAGGAGTAAATGGTTATTTTAAAATATAAAAAATATAACTTTGAAAATATTTATACTTTAATCCTGTGGAGCTTCTAGGCAAATTAAATATTATATAGAAATGAAGTGCTCACTGAGGTTGAGTAAATTAACACTTGAAGGGAGTTCAGGGAGTCATTCAATTCTTTCAGAGTGGATAGTTATTCTCAGTTGTAACATTTCAGGTGCTGGAAAAAATTAATTTGCTTTACTTGGATGAATACCTTCTTCCCAAGGAAGTTTTTACTCACTAGTATGATAAAAAATAAAGCCCACTAAGTCACAATAATTATGCTTATAGATTATATAAAAAAATTTCATTTTTTTCAAAATGGTATTTCCTACCTATATCGATGCTATTTTTGACTTTTGTTAATAATAGTTGTATAATTTTGAGTATTATGTGGAGTACAGATAAGAACCAATATGATAGCAGAGTATGCCTCTTGGAGTTCATGGTTTGGATAGAGCAGATAGAATATTTTTATACATAGCCATATGGTATACACATTATTTTTAGTGTGCTATAGAGATAAAGGTGGCATATTCTCTTATAAAACTGTAATGTTAAGAAAGATATCTTGTAGACCTTTAGAAATCCAAAATCTTTTTAGAATGTTTATACTATTTTAATTAATAACTGATTATTAGAGACTGGCAGAGTAGATGCTATGAGATAACTATAAGGTTTGAGACAAAAGTTTAGTTTTTATTATTCTGTCATGTTACCACCTGAGAAAGTTAATGAGGAAGTAATTTCATGAACTTAACGTTAGGAGCACTCTCAGAAGATAAAAAGCTTTGTATGGCTGCATACTTTTTCTTATTCAAATTATGTCCAGAATACTCCTAATATCTCTATAGTCTTTATGTGTATATTATTTCTAAGTTTTTTAATGCAGCATTTAAAATTTTTGAAAGTTTATTAAAATTCATTGCTCATGAAAAATTTTTTTTCAATGAAAGGTTACTGAAGAACTAGAAAAGGTAAAGCAAGAAATGGAAGAAAAAGGTAGCAGTATGACTGATGGTGGTAAGTACACACTCATTTTAAGAAGAAAATGAGCAAGAGAAAACAGTCGTAATAAGTAGGGAGTCTGCTTTTTAAAATGAATGTGTTAGGGAGAGAGACATGGTGCCAAAATGATGTCTGATAGTCAGTATACTGTTTTCCTTATAAATCAGCTGAGAAGAGCCATTTTAACTGTATGTAGGGTTTTTTTTTTCTATTCAAATGAAGTAGGAAATATTTATGCACTTTGTTGTGTCAATTTAAAAAAATATTCTGGTCTGTTTTCGTCAAATGAGCTTCATTATCCCATTTCATGTACAAAAGAGCACTAAGTGTATGCCCCAATGACACACAGGCAGTGATCTGATGACCTCTGTTTTTTTTTTCCTCTTCCCCAGTAGACCTGACTGGGCAGAGGTCAAATAGAGAAAAATTAATAATCCTTCAGTAATCATCCTTAATCATGAGCTAGTTATTTTGACCTGGCCCAGTTGTGATTGCCTAAGGCCCTTCTATGCTCTAGAAAGATCTTCTAGTGGTACTAGAGGCCCAATGCACGAAATTCATGCAAGGGGCTCAGCCCTTGCAGCTGCGGCTGCCTTGGCCCTCGCAGCCCCGGCTTCGTCCAGAAGGTCATCTGGACAGTCGTTTTGCTGTTTGGTCTAATTAGCATATTAGCTCTTTATTACATAGGATATACTGAGCCACCTTTCAAAAGGGGATACGTAGGGGTTTTGCAGTATGGTTGAATGAACCCATTATATCTCTCAAAGATAATTCTTTCTTTTCTTTTTCTTCCACTGTATCCCTTTCCCTTCAGACATATGTACCAATCCATAAAAAAATTGAAGACATCCCTAAACCACCTGTTTAGCAACTCTTTCCATAGAAAAGACAGGAAGTTCAGCCTCAGTACTTCAAATCCTGTATCATTTCCCATCTTATAAATCTCAGGTGGTTAAAATGCCACAGCAAAATGGTGTGAATGTCAGTAAGTTGTTGGCTGTTTTTAACCCTATTTTTGGCTTAAGACAAAGTCAGGGAAGTGTTACAACTCTGTAATATGATGCTATGCCAAATAAATATTTTTATTCCATGTTATTTTCATTCTGCAGCTCCTTTGGTAAAGATTAAACAGAGCTTAACAAAGCTGAAGCAGGAAACTGTTCAGATGGACATTAGAATCGGTGTTGTGGAACACACATTACTCCAATCACAGCTGAAGGAGAAATCGAACATGACTAGGGACATGCATGCAACAATCATTCCAGAATCTGCAATGGGTTCTTATTAAAACATATCAGTGTGGTTTTTTGTGTGTGCTTCTGATTAGTTGGTTTTTTATATCAAATCATATTACATGTTGCATGTTTCAAAACACAATTATAACTCTTAAAGCATGTTCAATGAGTATTTTTATATACACACACATATTGTATCATGGTGATTATGGACGGTTAAAGCCTTTAAAATGAATATGGCATTTAATAAAGTAATGAAAAATTATCACTTTCAAAGCAGCTTTCATTCATCATTAAACAAGTTCAAGTCCCCACTCGGTGGTTCGTTTTTCTTGTTGTTCCTGTGTAAGCCGGTGTATGTGACCCATGTTTCTGTAGCTCTGTTGCTGCTCTCACCACATGGACCTTCGACACAGCCTGACCACCTCTGCAGCGATCACAGTGCATGTGCACTCAGAGGCAGCTAACAATGGCTGAGGACTCTTTCCAACACCCAGACCACCATTGCATCGGCTTTGTAGTTACTTGAAATTACGTAAGAAAGAAAGCATGAGTAAAACTTCAACGTCCTTGTTAACATTTGAATTTATTACTTATCATGGGTGTTTTGTGACTAAAGGATTTATATTTTCTATGATTTAAGGCCACCTAATCAGTAAATGTTTCAGTCATGTTGACTTTCTTATAGTGACAAGAAGGATGTACATCTCACTTTGTTCTGTGGTGTTGGAATAATTTTGTAGTTGAAGGAGAGACAGCAAGTCACATGCAGATCAGCATCCTAGTCCTGGTGATGGTTACACACCCTACTGAGCAGCTCTGTAGACCAGAACTTCTAAATGGCAAAATAAGCAACATTAGAGTGAGAAGATTTACAACAAAGGGAAACTGGTAGAGGAGCACAACCAGGAGATAGCCCACATGTATTTATTTAGAAAGCTCTGGTGGTAAATTTTGATAGGGATACTATGTATAGAACAACAAAATAATAAAATCCCTTTCTCATCCCTTATCCTAATGTTTTCTACCTCAAATTTTTTTTTCTTAGCCTTTACTTTCTAGACATATACTTGAACACTCTTTTTCTTTCCTTCAAACTCTAGTTTAAATTTGATAAAACCTATATATAAGTTCTATTAGTCAAGAGCATGGCAATCAATACAATGAAAAATAATCTGGTTTATTTAATGTATAAAGAAGAGAGGGAATCCATCACGTGATAATAGGCAGTTTGAAAAAGTCCAAACTTTTCCCCTTTCTTTGTGGTTTTTGGGAGGGGCATAGTAAAACGGAACTTAACTTCGGTCCCACAAGCTAACATTGATTCCCCTAGAGTTTATTTGCATAAGTATTGTCATAGCTAAGCAGTTTATCAGTGAATTCAGTCAACGTAGAGGACCCTTCTAGATACATCAGAGCTCTCCATAAAATGTATGTTTGCTCAGAAGCAAATTGTGTTCTTCATTTCATGCAAACACACAGTAATCTAAGCACTCTTCCAGTGAGCAGTGTGAGCAGCCCGTTTTTACTTCCTTCTCTGGGTTTGCTCTGGGGGCCCCCTCTCTGCTCCCACAGAACACTGAATACCTCTAATGTAGAACTTACTGTACTGCATTAGGTTTATTTTTTTCTTCTGCCCTCTCTTGTAGATTGATCTGCTTGAGTATAGGGAGAAAGTCTTTTTCACGCTCATATTTGTAGCCAAGCGCCTAGCAGATAGTGTGAGTTAGTAACTGGATGGCTGTTCCAGAGCATCTCAGAGCTCCTATTCTGTAGCCTGGCAAGTTTAATGACTATGAGCTTGAAACAGTTTCAAGATAGTAATTATAAATGATAGGTTTTTCCCTGTGGTGGTGGATTGGAATTGGAAACATTAATATGAACTCATGTTTTTTTCATAGATATAGGTTAATAGAAATAACTAGAAATTCATGTACACATATAAACATATATTTATTTTTGTCCTCTGAAGGCCTAAAAGCAGTGACAGCCCAGTAACAATGAGAATACCTAGCATTCAGATCTTGTTTTCTACATTTTCTACTTAAAAAAAGGAGGGTGCTTCTTAGAAAAATTACTGATTCCTAGCCTGGGGCAGAGAAAGGACAAAATGAGCCTCAAATATCTTGCTCTGTTAAAAAGTAAGGTAATGCTCAAAGAACGATGGGAAAATGGCTAAAAAAATATTAAGATTGAGGTATATTCCACCATCCAATCTGGGATAATTAAGCATGAAAGTAAAGGATTACAGTAATGAATTCCAACCCATAGAAAAAAACAAGAAACCATGAGTCTATACAGATAGAAATAAATGAATCAATGGGAGAAGAGAAGAATCTTACAATAGAAAGACAGCTAATGTAAGAGGAATACTATATTTAGAAATAATCATCTGGAAACTACCATAGTGGTAATTGTTTTGGGCATGAGTCATCAATGGATACTAAAACTAGTAGGTAAAAGTTTAATGGAAAGCTAAATATCTACATTGTCTCAAAGTAAATTGTACACTTTAAAGTAGAAAAATCCTGGCAGGCACCACTTTAACTTAGTGATCAAAAGTTAGTATCACTAGTAGTGAACAAATAGGCATCACGTGTCTTGTGAAAAGGGTACACACTTGTGTAATTACTGCTGACAGTGCATAACCTGAATCTCATCATGGGGAAGCATCGGATGAATCCAGTGGAGGGACACTGTAGAAAATGGTCTGTGTTCTTAGAAAACGATAATAAGGTCATGAAAAACACAAAAAAGACAGAAACTCTCTCAAATTAGAGGAGACTAAAGAGACATTATTAGATGTCCTGTGCCAGAAAAAAAATATTTTTTGCTGTTATGAAGGACATTCTTGGGACAATAGGTAAAATTTGAGTAAGGTCTATAGATTAATAGTAGATAAATAGATTTAATAGTGTGAAATCAGTGTTAATTTTTTATACTTGTACTGTGGTCATGTAAGAAAGTATTTGGAAACAAAATAGAATTGTGTCAGCAGTATACTCCCAAATGGTTCAGGGAAAAATGTGTGTGTGTGTGTGTGTGTGTGTGTGTGTGTGTTTAACACATGTATATAGAGAAAAGGAGAATGATAAAGAAAATGTGGTGAATTGTTAACATTTTGGGAATCTGGAGGAAGAATAGAAATCCATTGCACATGTAAATAATTTTTTAAAATATGTTTTTGTTGATTTCAGAGAGAGGAAGGGATAGGGCAAGAGAGAAACATTAAAGATGAGAGAGAATAATTGATCAGCTGCCTCCGCATGCCCTCTACCAGGGAGCTACCCCGAAACCTGGACATGTGCCCTGCCCGAGAATTGAACTGTGACCTCCTGGTTCATGGGTTGATGCTCAACCATTGAGCAACACTGGCCAGGCTCCATTGCACATTTTAAAATAATTTTTTTGTAAGTCTGAAATTATTTTAAAATGTAAATCTTAAAAATAATGGTTCTTAAAAAGTATATACTCTATGTAAAAGTTAGTCTCCCTCTGATTCAAATAATCAACTTGTTGAAGTAATATGACTTTTAGAATAAAATTATATAGCCCATTGAATACATCTTAAACGTACAATTTTATAATCATTGATTCATTGATTATAAAACCAAGTAGAAACAATTTTTTGACAATTCTAAGGAAGTTTTTTCCTACTGCCCTTTAATTTATCTATGTCAGCATTTACCATGACTTTTACACAAAAGCAAAAGTTTCTGTAAGCAGCAAATTTGGGAAATGCTGTACAAGTTTCATTTTCTTCATGTCTTCTTGCCTACATTGTGAATCTACAAATGTAGTTCCATTATTTTATTTTTTTTTACAAATAGGTAACCATGGACTCTTAACAATGGAGAATGCAGATTTAGATAAATAAGCGTGTAAAATCAGTATACAAATCTGAGATTACTTTCCAACCTTTTATTAGAACCAGCGGACCTACTTAGGAAGATAAGAGACACATGCCACATTGATTCATAACCTCCCTTGCTTAACAAGCAGGCGGCGATCCTTGAATGGTTGGGAAATTTTGTACAGAACCTAGGATTTCATGGCCAAATGTTTTTCTTCTTAAAACACTTCTATGCCAGCTCAAAAAAATTGTTTGTATTTTCTCTAAGGCAGTCTTTATTATAACAATGCAGTTAAATGTAGTTAGAATACACTGCCCTATTTTGAGGTCAGGTAGCATTGTCATAGCTATATATTTTTGAAAAGTTAATGTGACCAACAACCAAGTCATAAAGCCTAAATTTTTTATATTTAAAAAGGAGGAATGGCATTTTAAAGGGTAAAAGAAAACTTGGATTCACTAGATTATTGGTGGTTTTTTACAAGGGTTTTTTTTTGTTTTTGTTTTTTTGTTTTGTTTATTTTTTTTACAGGAGAGAGGAGAGCAAGAACCATGCTCATCTTAATGTCTCCTAAATTACATATCTCAAGCATCTGGGATTCGCTGACTCACCATCAATGCCTTATTTCCGGGTCCCCTTAGGCCCCTCCATGTCTTGTTCTTACACTACTAAGTAGTACTACAAGGACACCTCCAGTTGACAATCAGATCATACCTTACAGCCCACCACCTGCTCCTTCCCATCCCCCACTTGAGAAGCTGCTCAACAGGCTTAAAACTCCATACATGTGGCCCTTTCTCTATGGGTCAGTGTAGTTAACAACTAGTTAATGGAAAGCATTCTCTAAGCTGTCAATTCTGAAGTTCCTAACTCCGGTTGGGCATCAAAATCAATTAGGAAAAAAATTTTTAACAACACCCAATTTCCCAGCACTCTTTGCCCTCAATTCTTATTAAAGAGGTTCTGAGTGGGACTATGGGGTGGTATCAGAAATTTTAAAAAGCTCCTCTGGTGATTGCTCCAGCTAATCTAAGAATTCCTTTGAGGACCTACCCCTCTAGAAATTTTCTCTGGCTATAAGTACACAGACATAGTATCTTAGATCTGAAAAGTTCTTTAAAGAAGATCTAAACTAGTGTTAAAGTGTGGCCTACAGACTGTCTTAACAGCCCCACCTGGGGCGATTTTTAATAAATACCCTAGATTATTTAATACATGCTAGAGTTTGAGACATGCTAATATTAAAAACTGACACACACACACACACACACACACACACACACACACACACACACCCCAAATCAATAGAAAGTGCCCCAAAAGGTTTGTTGGCCTGCTTACTTACAAACCAAAGTTATAAACCACATGGTTCTCTGTGGTTCTCAGTAGAGTTTATAGCAGTTCTGTGGGAATTTCATGTCCACAATACCTGTCACCCATTCTGTCCCATCTGTATCCCA